TACAGGTGCCCTGATAACGACTGACAACATGAATAAAAGGTGCCTTTGTGGGTTTTCCTGTCTTTTCTTCGATGGGTGGCCGTTTTGAATCGTTTAGGCGTGGTCGATTTCCAAGGGGCTTTGGGCCTAGTTATAAAGATAGCGGTTTAGCCGAGTTTTCCGATCACGCGTCGAGAACGGATTCTGAATGGCAACTTGTTCCTAGTTCTAACTAAAATTCAACCGCGCTTAAATAATGACCAGTGCTTGAAGACACCAACAAGAACAAAAATGCGGGGGCGCCCTTTGGCATCGGCTAGGAAACACATATAGAACTTCCACAGTTAAATGTATTGGAGATCTTTGTGAAATTGTTAATAATCTTGTTCATAATTTGCTAATCCATTTTATTACGCTTCAGGATCCTTACTCAGACAGCTTGGTGATTGGAGACGATATCGAGGAGTCTGATTCCGCCACTTTCTCTGTCATTACTGTTTGTGAGGAGAGCACAATGCCAGCCACGGTGTGTGCAGAGGTCTCAAGCACTGGTGAGGGGTCAGAAACAGTCTCTTTGCAGTCCCATTCGTCCCAAGCCTCGATATCAGAAAAAGGGATTAGCATATGGGTTGACGAGATGGAGGAACAAAACAGCAAACGGCAGAAATTAAACGAAGCTGTCCACAGCATCTAAGGTGGCCAGTAAAGCCCTGTAATGTCCACCATGAACACGACCTGGGACGACGTCTGAAACCCAGCAGCAATATTACATCCGCAAAGCCAAAGTGACTATAGCGACCTCATTGTCTATCATCACTCCCGGCCAAGAAGAACTGGTTTGGAAGGCGTTACAAACGGAGGTACTTTTCGATATCTGCGAACTTGTAAAGAACAAGAACCTTGACTCACTCAAACTGGCAGTTCTGAAAGAAATCTGTAATCAGCTACACTTGACGAAAAGTGGACCGCTGTCAAGAAAAAAGACTTTCTTTGAAGCCATTGAAAAATTTTCTGAGAGTTGCCCATGTTTTCAAAAATAACTTCACATGGTTTTAGTAGGAAGGATCTCTTTGCCTCTACCCCTATCTTCTCTATTGGGGCCTTTTAGATAGGTGCAGGGAGACCCTTAGATAACAGGGTTTATAAATACTTGTAAAATTGTGAGTAATATAAGACTAAAAACTGAATGAATGCTATGGTAAACTGACAGTAAAACGAAAACTGCATGGATTTTTACGTACTGCTAAAAGCCAGCTGTCCGTTGCTATGCTTAAATGCTATCATGGATAAAACCAGTCCGGGTTTTCTTCATCAACGAAATAGCTGTGCTTAGAGAAATAGGAGGAAGATTTCAGCAGCAATGAACACGGATTGATCACCTTTAGTAACGTTTTTCCACTTTCCCAGCCACGGATCTATTACGTAACAGTTTATTAAGTTTCGACTCACTAATTTGCACAGCCATGTTACTTAATGTTCGAATTAAATTTCCTCTTCCACCGAATTGACTGTCACTTCGGCAACTTGTTTGCCTTCCATCACACGTGGTGAAAACATAACTCTGGTAGTCTCCAAAACTGTTCACTAACTTACAAAACACTATCTTGAGTCTGTCTGGCATACATAATTTGCATGTCCGTGGTTATTAAAATGACAGAGTTCGATTCCCGAACTGTCATGTTCGTTGTGGACTATCAACGTCTGCAAGATCGAGACAACAATAGTTTCAAAAACAAGAACTTAAAGAAAATTTCTTTCATTAGGTGCAGGGTCATCATCGCTTGTATATAATATCAACAAATACGCGAAGTTTTCCGGGGAAAAATCGACAACATACAAATTAGTCAAATTTGAAGAAAGCTTACAGGAGGGGATTTTGACCCACCAAATGACAAAATACGCGGTTGAAGTAAAGCCACTTACCTGAAAAAGTTATATTTTTCTCTTAGTCATAGTAAAAAAGCCAATAAACGCCTGCAACATGTCGCAAATCAAGAGGAAATTTTTCCCGGGAAAACTACAATTATGCAAATTGGGAAATTAGATTAAAGTCGTGAGAAAGCTCACGCGACAGGATTTTAATTTGCCAAATGAGAGTTTGCATATTTGTAAAGACTTTAAGACAGACTAATAAAAACTAGTTTTGATCTGGAAATAAACTGCCGCACTTTAGAGAAAACCAGCTTTGAAAATTGCCAAATTTCTTCTTACTTACGATAGCCTCTAAGTGATGATATTTGGAACCGCTCCAAAGTATGTTATTTTTAACCAAATTCGTTTATATTGGAGACATGAGCTGTTTATAGGCTGGGAAGTATGTACAGTTCGTATAAATGAATGAGGCTAAGGTGACGTACGTAAAATCATTCGTAAAAGTTTATCCAAATTTTCCGTCTCACGTGACCAAAATAGCACCAAAAACTAGGGGGGTGATCTAAATTCTATGAAAAATATTTTATTTCACTAAAAATACTACCGGTCGTTATCTTATCTGATAGAGAAAAAGTGCTGAAAGTTTGGAGGGAATCAGCCGTCCTCGATCCGTGGACCCTGCCTGGTCCTTACTGACAGTGACACTTAAACTACACAGTGAACGTTTGTCAGCAGGCTTCAGCTTCAGGTTGACATCTGTTCTGACACAAGTCAGGGTTGAAACCACAGTCTACACTGTAAATTAAGTTTAGATCTTGATCTCCCACTATTTCACATATTAACTAATTTCACTTTCTACATTGGGATTCTACCGTTCATTGAACAATGTTAGCATACTTACCGGTTTTGTTTTAAGAGACTTTTGGACAGCCTGGATTTCACACGTGATTTGAGAAGCAGTGATCTCTTTATGAAGCTCTATGACAAGACCTTTTAGTAAGTCTAATTTTGCAGTATTGAATCTGGGCTTAGCAACAGCTTTTGAACTAGATGCTCTGCCTGAAACTGAATGAGACATTATTTCTTCTTCAGTAAAAAGCCTCCGCAGCAATAAATAAACTGTGTTAAAAACAGAGGTGGAGTTAGCGATTAGTTCTCTACACTCCTTTGGGTACTTGTGACAATTTAGACTCTGGCTGTTGGTCAGCATTGCTAGAATTCTTCAGCTGTTTTTTCAGGTTTTTCACCTCAGGCACAGTGTCCATGGGAGCTTCCCTTAAGGAAAACAATTCTTTGTGGCAAAACTTGCAGCGACCCTGTAAAATTAACAAATACAAGGTAAGTACAGTGCAAGCAATTTCTGCTTTATTTTTTTTAGGTGCCTTTTTATCCATAAACCCTGTATATATATGGGACTACGGGTGTCTGGAAAACCCGAATAGCGAATAGCGAATAGTCGCGAATAGTCCTGAATAGCGAATAGCGAATAGTACGAATAGTGCGAATAGTGGCGAACAGTCTAGAATAGCGGCGAATAGTGGCGAATAGTGGTAAATAGTGGCGAATAGTGGCAAATAGTGACAAATAGTAACAAATAGG